GAGCCACTCCAGCATCCCTCCCCGGCTGCGTCCGCCCGCCGCCTGCCGTCTGTCTCCCTGTGAGGGGTGTGGGGTGTCTGTGTGTGTGAGCGGGGGGAGGGGGATGCAGCTGGGACACTGACCCGCTGGGCGGTGACCATGCTGTGCGGCGCGCCGGCCTCGCCGCTGGTGACGATGTGCAGCGGCAGCCGGACGTCCGAGGCAGACGACACCGTCAGACCGCCGCCGCCACCGCGCACCTCGGGCGGAGGCGGCGGCTGCGGCGGCGGCTTCGTCTCCCGGTCGCGGTCGAGCAGGCGCAGCTTGGCGGCCGCCGCCGGGTGGTGGTGAGGGTGGTGGGCGGCAGTGGCCGCAGCAGCAGCTGCCGCCGCTGAGGAGGGCGCGCCCGGCAGGCCGGCCAGGTGCGGCACAACGTCCCGCTCCCCGTAGCCCCTGTGGAGACAGGAGGAGCACGTCAGCGGCTGAGGCGGCGAACACACAGACCTAGGCATGAACATGAATGATCATAGCCAGCAGCTAAACCTCACGCTGGTCGAATAGATTACATCCAACAAGAATGTAAGCGAAACTAGCACAGCAAACGTGTAACGCAACAGACTACATTATCGAAACGTGGAAAACTACGTCCACAGAACTGGGTTTAACTCTACTGACGAATAGCTTGGCAGCATGAAACACAAAATCGATGATGACGTTGCTCATCGTCCATTCCATTGAGCCCGACTTCAGTCACGGTAGTGTGTGCTGCCCTATCGGGCTTTGTCAGCCATACGTGCCTGAAGGCGGGGTGTCGGAGCGGCGGCGGCGGCCGGTCGTCGGCCGGCCCGGCCCGCAGCGCCGCCGGCTGGCTGCTCAGGTTGGCGGCGGACAGGTGCGCCGGCTTCGGGTACTCGAGGCCGTGCGCGGCCGGCGGCGGCAGCAGCGTGGGCCGCCGGTGGGGCGCGCCCGCCGACGGCCGCCGCGCTGCCGCCGCCGCCGCCGCCGCCTCCTCCTCCTCGCGGCGCCGCTGCGCCTGCGCCTGAGCCTGCGCCTGCTGGTGCAGCTGCTGCGCCTGTTGCTGCTGAGCCGCCGCCGCCGCCGCCGCCTGCAGCTGCTGCTGCTGCGCCTGGAGCTGCTGCTGCTGCTGCTTTTGCTGCTGTTGCTGTTGTTGCTGCTGCTGCTGTTGCTGTGGACGAAAATAACGGGCATTAAACTTCGATCACTGGCTAATGGCCACGGTACAAGAGCACGACTCCTCTATTGTTTTACATGCGTTGCAGCGCCACGGAGCGTGCGTGACGCGTCTTAGACACCATCAACGTGGTCCCGGTCACAACAGCACCCACGCCAGCGGCCGGCAGACAGAGGGCCATCAGGGAGCGCGCGTGAGCTCCATACGGTACATCGGACCCGAGGGCCGCGCGCCATTGAGCGCTGCCCACAGGCCGGCCGGCCGGCGGCGTACCAATCAGTCTCGGCAGACGGTCGGCGGGCGGCACGTCTCGACGGCAATCAGACCGGGCGCGGCGGCCCGCCCAATCACCGACCAACTTCGGCAGACGGTAACGGCCGCATGGACCAACTTTGCCACGGCGCGGCGGCCGACCATGTCCGACCCGTGCCCGGCCACGTGTGTCGCGCGGCGCCGGCACGACCAGCCACGCTCCAAAGTACACAACACGGCACGTACTCTCCGATAAACAGCAGCGCCCCTCCCCTCCCCGGCCGGACCGGTCGACCCCCGGCGGCGCACCTATACCCAAACGGGCAACGGCATCGGCCACTCGACGGAGGCAGCACTTGTCTCGAACAAGCACATCACCCCAGACGCCTAGATAATACGGCACACGATGTGCACCGAAAATGTACTGGCCAAATGGATGGAACGTTCAGAAACGTTAGCGCTCTACAGCTTTTCAGTTTGTTTGCACTAATCGAAAAAAACAACATCAATAAGTGCTATAATGAAAAAAGTCGATAGCAAAAAAAAAACCTTCCCACAGTAGACGTTGACATCAATAAGACGCTAACGTTATCCATGAGAAACACGTCTGAGTTAGCCCCAAAGTCCCAGTCCCTGGTCAGAGCCGATACGCAGGCTGGGGCTGATTTTTGGGCCCAGATGTCGGAGTACCAAATCGCAAACCCGCGCTAGTCTTCGTGAACTTTTAAATATCCACTACAAATATATCCAACAATTTGTGCTTTTCATCGAAGAACCATTGCGTAAGTTACATATAAATAGCCTTGTTGGTGTCTGCAGTAATAGATCCCTGCTTAGTTGGGATATCTTTCCAAACTGTATGACATCCCAAACCCGTCGCTCACCATCTTCCGAAAACCAATGAATAAATTGCGGTGGGCGGCGACCCGACCGTGTTTGGCCGGCGCCCGGCTGCCATCGCGACACAGCGGCGGTGCGCCGCTCGCCGTATAATGGCCAGTTGGGCCGCTCACCCCTCCTGAGGAGGGCCCGGCGCGGGGCGTGTCACCTGTTATCGAGCGTCGCCGTCGACCGACCTGTCCAGGCGACGGCCAGCGCGACCTGACGCCGCCACGCACGCAGCCCGCCGCGGCCCGGCATCGGAAATCAATCGCGCTGCCCCGGCGCCACCCCGCACCCCGGCCCACAACCCCACCGGCCGACCCCCGGTCACCACGCCGCCCCGGCTCCGCGCGGCGAGCGCTGACATCACGAGTCACGTGACGTGACGTGTGGCGGGTGACGGCGTCGACGTGGCGGTGGCGCCACAGTGGTACGGTCTCACGGCCCGACCTGCCGCGCTGGGTCACAGCTGACAGCCGCTGCCGCTGTTTGAGTGCAGAGTCCACGGCCGCGGTGAATAAAGCAGCCGCTCGCCAGTGGGCCATGCCGGGTGCTGTCGAGTACCGACTGACCCCTCCTCACCTCACCCCTCCCCGGTGCCGACCCTTGGCCTTGCAGTTTGCACCGCTATCTAGTCGCGGCGCCGGCGGTCGCTCTCCGGCCGCCGGCCCGTCGCCACCGCCCCGCTTTGAGGCAGCCGTTCGCGGCAAACCCAAACACCGCTCCGCGCCGCGCTGGCCGTCCTATAAACATCGCCCCAGTCCTGGCCCGTCGGTGGGTCGGCAGAACCCCCCTCCCCCTCCCTCCGCGCGCGGTTCCGCACTATGTCCGTTTCCCGGGGCGTGTTGTCAGTTCCGGGAACAGCTCGGCTCGGCGGCGGCTCTGGGCGACGGGCGGCGGCACTCACCAGGTGTTTGTACCGCTGGCGCTCGTATATTTCGGCGGCAGCGGCGGCATGCGGGTCGTGCAGGTGCATTCGGGGGACAGCCAGCCGGTCGACCCGGTCACGCTCGCCGTCTAGCCTCGCCAGCTGCATCTGCGGGCCGAGCAGGGGCGCCGAGACGGTCAGACAAACCTAGCAGTCACGGCACGGAAACAGGGCGTGGTTACACGGGGACACGGCGGGGCGACAGCACGGGAACGGAGCGGGCAGGGTGACACTGGGACAGAGAGGGCAGGGCCAAGCGGCGTCTCATGGGACCCAGAGAAGAGCTCGGCAGACAGCTGCTCTGGTCACTGCTCAGTGGGTGGACGGTATGCAGATGCAGAATGCATAAGGTGACGGGTGAGAGTAGCAGGATAAATGACTCGGCGAAGGTGAGAAAAGAAGGCTCGATGACTGAACGAAAGACATGGGGATTATCAGAGCCTCACGAGCTCGCCAAGGACGAACAAGCAGTTCCAGGTGGCATCGTAAGCAAATGTCCTCCAGCTGCCTAGTGCCTACACGTATAGTTGCCACTTTTTCACTTTGGAACAAAAGAAAAAGATCCTTTTCCAATCGTATTATTCGAAGCTACAGCGAATACAACAGAGCGCAGGCAGAGAGCACGCGGAGATTCGGCGCCATCGCCGAGCCCCGCCGGCGGCATTATTCAGCCGCTCCCGGTGACACCGATCGCGGCTTGTTCGTACCCAGCTCAAACACTCTCGGCATGCATAATCGGGCTGCATAAAGCACGTCGGACACCGTCTGACGTCACCCAGATACCGAGCTCGCTGTCGCCACCCGGGCCGCGCGCGCGCGCGCGCCGCACTCCCGCGCCACGTGACCGGCGCTCGGGCGGCACCATGAGGTTGCGCGAACTCGCGATGCGGACTCGTTCCGGAACGCTCCCGGGCGGCGATATGGCGCGTGAGGCGCCGGCGTTCCGGTCGGCCGGCGGTCGCTGAGCTGCGGCCCGTTTTCACCGCCGCCGCCGGCGAGCAGGTGACAGGCAGGTAATGACACACCGCAGGTTCTCAGGGACTCTCACGATTTGTCCCGCAATCAGAACAGCGTGAGTCAGCGGGTGGGGAGGGGACGGAAGGCGGCCGGATGGCGGGGAATGGCGCTCTTCCCCTCCCCTGTCGCACCCTCACACACTTCCAGCTATCGTCATCACCGGCTTGAACGATTCGAGCCTTGAACTCTGGCCCCGCTCAGCTCTTTTACGATCATGGAACGCAGATGCTCCGGGAATAAATTATTTTACGGCTTCAAACAGCTGTTGCCGGCCGGTTTAGCGCCGTCCCAAAGCGGGCCCGATCTCGGTCAACGCTCGGCTAGTGGCGGTGCCCTTGGATGAGTGGCGATGCCGGCGGCCAGCGTGGGACGCGGTCCCGAGGCCGCCGCAGCCCGGGCCGACCGGACCGCCCGGCGAGAGGTAGGGACCGGCTGCTGCGTGGTGCCCACACGCGCCCGGCGGCGGGCTGGCGGCCGGCCGCGGCACCCCGCACCACGTCAGACGGCCATCAGGGATGACGGCGGCGACCCGGCGGGCTGGGTCTCCGCCAGACAGCGGCGTAATGTGGCCGCCGCCGCCCTAACGGCCGGCACCCCACCCATCTGCCGCTGCCGCCCAGCAGCCCTCCCCTCCGCCACTGCCGGACACGTATATGGACCGCTCCGTCGGAGACCGGCCAACAAAAACTTCCCCGCTTAGGACGGCCATATTTTTAGGCGCGAGCAGTGAACCTTTATCAGCGCGACACATCAGCCACTCGTGTCCCGGCTGAACAATGGCTCGTCGCTGGCCTTGAGGCCTTGCATGCCAAAATACGAGCCGTGGTCCGGCATACCGGAGCGCTGCCGATACGGTCGGCGGTCAGCCGGCGCTCAAAAAGTTTGAAAACCGACCGCTGACTCAGGAAAATAAACACGCACAAAGCTCAAGGCCATTCTATTGCTGCTCAACTACAGATATTATCGTGATCTATGAAGCATGAAGGCGGCCGGGTCCAGCAATTGTCTTAGACTTCCGTATCATAGAGCCAAGAATCACCAGAGTCGGTGCACGCTCACCGATGTAAAAACGATTAAAGCAGCAAAATGTTTCACATACACTGATGGTAAAAACGCTCCATGCGAAAGCAAAGCGACGCACAATTCGTCTAATGCGCAAAGTCAAGAGGAGATATTATCCCTTTCCACAATGTGTCAAGTGCCCAATCCTTGCGTTTAACATAACATATGATTGCACTAACGATGCGGAACAGTAGCTTCCTCAGCATGATGTTTTGGCAGATCCAACAGGCTGGTAATCCATCGCGTAGAGAACTGCTCCCCACTCCTAAAAAAAAAAAATGATGACCGACGGCGCCATCCAAGTCTGTATCCCCGGACGGAACCCAGGCCGTCCGGTCGGTCGGTCGGTCGGTCGGTCGGTCGGTCGGACGGACGGACGACGGCCCGTGCCCCGCTCGGGGCGGTCGGAGCCGAGCCGCGCGATCGATAAAAACAGCCGCCGGCCGGGCCGCCCCCGCCCCGGCCGGGGCACGGAAATAGCCGCCGGCGGCGGCGAGTGCCAGCGGGCACGGTGCCAGCCGGGTGTCGGCCGGGCAGCCGACCCCACCCGGCCCCTATTCCGGTCTCTCCGTCAGCACGGCGGCCTGTCCCAGACGCGAGCTGCCGACGGCCGCCTGCCAGCTCCAACCCACTCACACACAGCCCGTATCGTCATAGAAACCACGCAGCAGAGCCGATACAGGATACAAAAACAACATGGAGAAAAAATGCCGAAATTAACCTCTTTCTTGAAAGCCATTATATTAAAAATGAAAGCTACCCTGTGGAAGGAAAAAAATGAGTACATCACTTAAAATAATTGAGATGTTTTCTCCGCAAAACGGGGCAAATAACTGGTTGGAGGATATATTTGTCAGACATCTATTTTCCTGGTTCCTGTATTCACTCTGCTTTCGAAGGCAAAAATGATAAACATCAAAGTAAAGAACGGAAAATTACTCCCTCGAGGTTGTCAACCATCCAAGACGGTGGATGAAAATAGGAACACAAAGACAGAATTTACTATGGATTTTCAGCCACCTTTCGCCCACGACGAAAGCTCCCGCGTTGGAAAATACCAGACGGCCCCATCGAATCTGAATGTGTCTGCGCACCAGCCGCCGCACAGCCGGCGAACGGTTTCCTCCCATGTCGATAGCTGATCACGGTCGCCGCCCACACACCCTGCATTCATGGCCGGCGCTGCAGTCGGCCGACTTTCCAGCGCCATATGCTCCATCATCCCCGTTCCAAGTAACCACGCTCCGCCGGCTGTTGGCAGCGCTTTATGTCCGCGACTGGCACGCCCCTCGGTCGTGAATAACAAAGTCTTTGCCAGTCATTCTTGCACAGACAGCGCCTGATGCAAAACAACCCACTCATCCCTCGCGGCCATCCGTTCCACACTGGCGGCGCTGGCCGGCCGGCCGGACGGGCTGTTTTGGTTAGTGGACGGGCGGACGAGCGTGCAGCGGGGCGCGGCAGCGGGGCAGGTCACAGTCACGCCGCGCCACGCCCGGTCAGGAGCCCAGCCGGACCGAGCCGGTGACCTTGCCTCGACCCAAGGCTGCGGTACCAAATGATACCGCCAGAGCGGTGCGAAGCCAGAGGACGGATGGATGGGCCGCCGGCCGAGCGCACTCTGCTCCCACGCGGAGCCGCGAGCGGGGCAGCGCGGCGGGGACAGGCCGTCGCTGGCGGCGCCGACCCCGCGGGCAGAGTGGCTGCACGAGCGGCCACCTGTCGCGGCCGGCGCCATTGTCACCGGCCGTCGTGCGGCGCACACAATGGTGGTCCCGCTTTGTACCGACCGCCGCGGGAAGGTCCCGCAACTGGACAGCGCCGCGCTCCGCCGGCTCACACACACACACGGGCCGACCCCGGTCGTACCGTGACCGTCCGACGCAGGGACGGCGGCGGCGTGCTGCGGCCACCGCTCCCTTCCTCAGCCGGCTCCATGACCGGCGGCGGCGGCTGGCCTTCGGCGGCGTTTCGAAACCGCCCGTGAGCCGGGTGCCCGCGGACGTCCCGCTCCCAGGCCGGCGGAGAACGGAAGCGCGTCGGTCGGAACGGTGCCGCGGCGGCTCCCAGCGTGCGGGAAGCGCGGCTCGCCGCCGACCGTAACGGGCGCCCGCGATGGGGCACCGGCACGTCACGTCACGGTAACGCTGACGGCCGGCCGTGACTCGGCTGCACAGTCGCGGCAGCAGACGGACAGAATCATTATTTGAGTCGATGCTGCTCAGATATATGATATTCTGCACAACTGTGACCTCTGGAGGAAGACGGCACTTGTATATCACTGTGTGCCGAGTCAACAGTCGAGTAACGAACACGGGAAATGCAATTTGCTCCCGCGATTGGCTCGGATAATTTCGTTTCCCGGCTAATTGGCAGCACAGATATGCTGATTCGTTTCCATTCGGAGAATCCGAATAGTTACATATTGAGCCAAATAACCCCGAGCGAATTTCTCTATTCACCGACCGTTATTAGTGATATTGTCCGTCCTATTCTTTTTTTTTTTTTTGTCCGTCCTATTCCGATTCGTGGCGTTCGAAAACGAACCCCAATAGCAAAAGCTGCCAGTGCAGCCATGCCCTGTCTGGAGCGGAGTCGATCCAGAGGTCCATGGGACCGCCCTGTTTGATGACGGACATGGCGGATCCAGCGCCAGGGAACGCAGACTCGTCAGTTGTCGGAACGACTCAACAAAGCCGCTCTGTGCGGGCCAGCGGTGACGTCACTCCCGACAAACACAAAGAGCCGGCCATAAACACGGGCAACAAACAGGGGATCTGCATGAATACAGCGGACGGCGGTTTGTGGACGGCTCAAACGGTCGCGCCGATCCCGAAGGTCAATGGCGGAGTTTTGCGGGCGCCACTCGGCGGCCGGCCGGCCCTGGCCAGTGACCGCCGCTCTGATACAGACAAACGGCCCATACGGGCCGGCGGACGGGCTGACGTCACCCGACACGGCTGCAGCGGCACACGAGTTATATCAGGCGCGCCACCGGCCCGCCCAGCGGAAACGTCCCCGCAGATTGGGGCTGCATTACACGGGCGACATTTAATAACATGCCGCGACAGTGTGACCAAATTGGTTTAGCGTTAGGGGGAGGATGTATAAAAAAAGTCGTACGAGGATGTCACTATTTTCAAAAAACTCGTCTTCAGCCTCATTTTAGCTGCAGTTTTTACAGATAATGTGGAAAAACAACTATACCTGACGTCAAGTTCTGGTGGAAAGTAAAAAAAAAAAAAAAACAAATATTGTCATTAAAGATGTAAAAAAACGACATTGCAAGCGCGACAGTACGAGTGTGACGGTGCGAATCGTACATTGGAACATTTTCAGTCTTTATTCCTACACTAGGTAGGTATGCTTTGACGACAAAAACGTCGTGATGATGTAATTTTAAAATTTCTGAGGATGTCATTATACTTTTCATTGGGGGTGACTTTCCCCGCAACATCACCAATTTGGCCACACTGTGCCGCGATAACAGTGGAGTGATGCGTCAGCACCGATGGCCGCGCCACATAGTAACTGAGTACCGGCGCTGTATTTATATACGGTCAACAAATACACCAAACCGCACGAAAGCCAACCCGGTCCCGACCACTGTTCGGTAGCATTGTAACACATTCGCAACCACACAGATTGTATCGGCCTGCAAAACTTGCTAAAAACAAAGAACTGCTGATGTGCCAATTCGCCCACTCACCGGTGTGCTGCGTACCGAGTAGGGTGACGGCGCTGCGGCGGCGGCCGCCGCGGCCGCCACGGCCTGCTGCCAGCGCACGTCGTGGTGCGAGGGCGCCGGCCCGGGCGCGGTCACCACCACGCCGGCCGGATGGTAGACGCCGCTGGCGCCGCTCGAGTAGGGCAGCCGGCCCTGCGACATGGGCGGCGAGATGGCCGCGCTGGCCGCCGGCTGGTACGGAGACGCCTCGTGACCGGCCGGCCTGCCGCGCACACACACACACCACGTCAGATACACAGCCACCCGTCAGAAGGACAGACACGGATCAGGGACGGTCGGATACAGAAACACGGATCAGGGACGGTCAGATACAGAAACACGGATCGGGGACGGTCAGATACAGAAACACGGATCGGGGACGGTCAGATACAGAAACACGGATCAGGGACGGTCAGATACAGAAACACGGATCGGGGACGGTCAGATACAGAAACACGGATCGGGGACGGTCAGATACAGAAACACGGATCGGGGACGGTCGGACGCAGAGACGGATCGGGACCGGTCAGATATACGGACACGGTCAGCGAGGTGGTCAGACATACCGGCACGGATCGGGGCCGGTCAGATATACGGACACGGACAGCGAGGTGGTCAGACATACAGGCACGGAGAGTGACAGTCGGTGAGATACGCAAACACGGTCAGATGTGTCTGTCAGACCACCGGCACGGACGCGCTAACAGACAGGAAAGAATCATCAGAGTGACCAGCAGACAAGCAGCGGTGCTCCCTGAAAACCCCGGGGTACTCAGACTACAGCGTCAAGTAATGTGAACAGTTTAATTAAATCAAAAACGTTCAGAGGAAAATCGTGATACTCTTAGTTCCAAAATTTGACTGCAAATGCAGATAAATTTCAAAAGAAGCCCAGCTCCCCATCAGCCCAGTACGAGTTCGTCAGCAGCACTGCCAGGCCTAAAAAATGATTGCCAGGCACCTAACTGATATAAGGCGCAGTTGATATTAACCCGCGCCCAGCTGGGGGTCCTGGATTTCCACGCCCTGCTGGGGGGGGGGGGGGTGTTTGAACACCCCCCCCCTTCTAACTCGGCTCCTGGGCCACGTAGCGATACGCGGAAGGCGGCGTTCGAAAGAGCGTCAAAAATGATGACGAAATCACTTCGGTCAATTTTTTGGTCAGGTCAAAGGTCAGGTCACCAGAGGTCATTGAAGGCAAAATTTCGCCGATTTCCAGGTCGAATGTCGACAATTTCAAAGAAGCCAACGCATAACTCGGGAACCAATAGAGCTACAGCGCCGCGGAAAAAGCGCATTCGATAGCCCTATTAACGCCCTTTCTGAGTAATTCCCTCAGATTTGACCTAACGTCAACGGTTTTGCCTGCAGGGGACAAAAACTGCAAAAATAGCAGATTTTTCGGAAACAGTTTTTCTGCAATAACTTTTGACCCAAGCCTTGTACGAGCTTACTTTTACCGGCATCGTGTTCCTCTCGTCAAGGCGCATCGAATGAACTATAACTTGACCTTGAAAGGTCAACTTGAAAATTTGACCTCAGGTCAAGGTCATGACCTGACCAGAAAGGGTCATGTTGCATATCAGTCGATCTGTATCGTCGAGCTGAACACATCTAAGGCGTTTTCATCGCTCTAGCATGCCTCTATCAAAAGTTATTTGCGAAAAACTGTTAGATACCATTCATGACCTAAGATGACCTCAGGGCATAAACAGGGGTCACGGACACCATTTCCATGTTCAGTGTGTCTAAACCACTTGTAATTCAGTGTTTGGGAGTGTTTATAATGTCTTTCGTCGAAAAGAAGCGCATTTCAATTTTCTCCCATTGACTTATAATGGGGAGGTCGCAAAATTGACCTGACCTTAGGTCATCGATATCAAAATTCTGAGATATACATTTTGTACATGCTATTGCTCTTAGCAATCGCTGAAAGTTTCAAAGCGATCGGTCACTCTGTGTAGCTATGACAGACATTGAAACTTTTTATGAGGTGAGGTCACTTCAAGTGACCTGGTGACCTGACCTTGAATGACCTTGGTCTGAAATTTTCACAACATGTGTAGAATTGATGTATGATAAGGTGTACCAAAAACTTTGAGATATTTGCGAAAAACCACAAGGGGGGGTGTTCAAACACCCCCCCCCCCCCCCAGCAGGGCGCGGGTTAATCCGAAACGCCGAATTTCATCGAGTTCAATATTCTAAGCAAGCACACCCGGGGTTTTGAAATTGAGTCAACAACGTTGACGTTGGAGGTGCATCCCAAACGCCAGTGTCTACCAGTCGGAACTGCCACTGAGAAGGGCCTATGCCACCTAATCAATCACCCAGTAGGTGCATTGCACCAGAGCAGGACGGCAATAAACATGTGCGCAGCGATTGATAGCACACTACACTACAAGTTATTGTCTCTCCATACCGGGAGTGGCTGAGCAATGAGCCAGAAAACTAGGGTCGGGGTATGGCTGGCTGGGTGGAGAGGCAGGGCGCCGCCGCAGGCGCGCGCTGCGCCGTACAGGGAGTCGAGGGCCGCATACGGTCGCGGCCTAGCACGAGCGTGCAATCAGCATCAAAGTGCGCCAGGCAGGAGGTCCAAGTCCGAAGACGGTGCCTGGCTAAAATGCCAGTCAGACAGAGCTGGATATTTTTCATCATACGAATACAATGAAGCCCGTTGCACCCTCGACCGTCCACCTCGCCCAGCCACACCGATTCCTTCCCGTCCCCATTCCACGCCCGCACACAGACACACAGACACACACACACACGGGCCGACAATGCGGCGTGACTGGTCACGCTGCGTTACGGCGTCATCAGTCCGGTGGGCCGTGACGTGTCGGCGGCCTCGGACCCCGCCCAACTGACCGGCCACAGAGCCGTCAGACCCCCCGGCCAGCGGCCAGGCTGCCAGCGCACCGCCGACGGCCCAGCCCAGCGGCAAGGAGCGGCAGTCACAGCCAGCCAATTCATCATGAACTTAATTAACAGAAAAAACAAACCTTGGCTCATATAACCACACACAAAAAAAACGAAAGCATTGTTGCTTATATTGTAATTTTACCAGCCGAAAAGTGTTCATTATCTTGAGAGCATAAATAAGCTTTCCATTCGGCAATCAATGCTATGCACGATTACTTAATAAAAATGCTGAAGTGTAGTAAGCCATCGTCCAATGTTGTCCAGTCTGCCACCTTTGTCCAACCAATTCCGAATTGGACATTGGGCAAAATCGGAACTCCGAATGTCCAGGTTTCGATTAGGCATAACAGATTAAGTAAGGTTGGGAGAGTTTATTAAACGGAAATGATAGACGTTCTGTGAACTGTAGAGAGGCGACTTCTGTCAGCTAACCGGTGTGCGGCGTGCAGATATTGATACTCTGCAACTGTTATGTTTGTTGTTGTGTTGATTTTTCAAATGAAGGCATGTTTAAAATTGTTCTGCCTAAATGTTTATGGATCAAACAGCATTTGTGCTAGCGAGATTATCATTTGTATGGCACATAAAGGCAGTATGTTCAAATTACCCCACGTTGGGGCAATTTGAACAAAATTACCCCACGGTGGGGCAATTTGAACACACCGTGACTTGGTGGAGAAGTAAGGCTATGCTATTCAAGGTGTGCTCGGCTCGTCCAAAAATGAGGCTTGTATGGTGAAACAAGGTGACATTTGCGCTAATGAAACAGTTTTCCTTCATCCGGGGTTGAGCTGGAATTTGGTACGATGGAGAAGACGTAAAAATATGTTCAAATTACCCCACCCTACCCTATCTACCAAATTTCATCGAAAAACATTCGCTGGTTTTCAAGGTATTATGAAGTTTTTCTCGAATAACTTTCGAATAAGCCAAGCTAGGAACAAACTAATAGCACCATCGTGATCCTCTCGTCGATCCGCATCGAAACATAAATATGTTGACCTCGAACGGTCAAGGTCGAAGGTTGACCTCAGGTCACGTGACCTCAAGGTCATTATGCAAATCATTCGATGCACCTTGATGAGCTGAATACAATGAGACCATCCGCGCTGCTGTATCTCATTCCTGTAAGGAGTTATTAGCAAAAAACCTTGGGTGACCTTTAACCCGCGCCGGGCCGGTGCTCTGAGATTCCGCGCCGGGCCGGGGGGTGTCTGAATACCCCCCCCCCCCTTTCTAACTCGGCTCCTGGGCCACGTAGCGACACGCGGTAAGCGGCAATCGAGAGAACGTCCAAAATAAGGACGAAAACACTTCAGTCATTTTTTGGGTCAGGTCAAAGGTCAGGTCACCAGAGGTCACCAAAGGTAAAATGTTGACTATTTCAACATTTTGGAAACTGCCAACGGCTATCTCGGGAGCCGATAGAGCTACAGCGTGGCGGAAAAGCGCATTCGATAGTAGGGTGTATCGTCGAATTTTGATTTTTTTTAATCGTCTTCACTACTAAATTTTATTGGTCCCTGGCATGTTTGAAGCCGCAGGATACCAATCAAAAAAATCTGGGACGAAAACCTAGCCTGCTGCGAGCGGTTGAACGGAAGCCTTTCGGGGCGGCGCCAGGCGTTGAAGTCTCCCCGTTAGTTACGCGCACACTAGCACCACGCGGCGGCTGGCGCCGTGCCGCCGCGTTCCCGGTCAGCCGTGTTTTAGCGTTCACTGACGGGTCGAGGTGATTATTCTAAGCTTTCCTGAGAAGCTTTCTGCCCCGCAGCTCATTATTGAGCAAGAATATCGCACAAACTGCATAGAACATTGACATGCAGGTTGTCGGCACATAGGAGAAGGGGATGTTTTGGTTAATGCCTCCTTTAATAGGAAGAGATTGTGGAAGAACAACACATTTCTTTTGGAAATTACTCATCCTCCTTCTTCCTACGTGCCTGCTTTAGTAATCGAAGTACCCCTATTGACTCTACGTTCTTGATTCGGCTGTCGATTTTATGCATGGAATTCCGCTATATTATATTTTCTCGCTCAATGTCCCCTGAGCTATATTGAGGCGTCACGGGACAGCAATGCTCAGCTCACAACTGCAGAGAAAAAGTCAATGTGGTCATGCGTTTTGTATGCCAAAATGTGTGAGCCTTGGCGTGTACCAGCAGCCGTTGTCACCATTGTAATTTTCACGACTTTATTTTTATAAGGATGCAATTGCCCACTTCCCAGTTCCCAGACTGGGTTTGAAGATATAGTTTTACAGAAACATTTAGGAATGTCTGTAATGTAAGTTAAAAGCTA